CATTTCTAAGAGGAAATGACATTGTTGAGGTGCTGAGACCATGAGGTGAAGCAAAGACAAGATGAGGTGAGGCTACGAGGGGGACGCGAGATAAAGCGGTAAATTCGCTAAAATGTTTCCCCGACTTCAACGACAACAGCGGGAGGCTTGCAGAAGAACAATATGAGTGTAAACCATGAAGGTCTTGAGCGCATTTTTAATACTTGAAAAGAAGCAAGTAGCACTGGTGCAAAACAGATAGTGAGAGAGAACGAGAAGGCTTTGCCTTTGATGATTTGTAATGAAACATCTACCCTAAAAGCACCTGGAAAAGAGCACATCAAAGCATCCTAATGAAGCATGCATGTTCCCAAAAACAAGCAACCTCACTGAAAGAAAGCCTTAACAACTCAAGTAACCCTTAATCAACAGTAATCAGTCGTGGAAACACAAAAGTATACACTGCAGAAACAAGATGAAAAAATGATATATCGTAGTAACTAAACTGTTAGCAGCCCAACATCTGACTATACTGAAAAGAATTCAATTGAATTTGATTCATATGAATTCAGATGTTTGCAGGCCCATTGCCACAGGTGGATAAAATCAGTCTACCTCTGCAAACATTTATGAAAGATTCGGTTGTTCTAAAGAGCTCACAGAATTTCAGCATGGGGCTGTAATAAGATACCAACAGTGCAAACAGTGGTATTATTACAAAGTGGAAGCACTTTGAAACCACAGCATCTCAGCCACAAAGTGTCGGACAACATCAAGTTAAAGAGTGAGGCTGCTGAGTGCTCAGGGGGCAACGACATGTTGACTCAGTATCTGCAGAGCTCTAAAGCACCTCTGGTGTTAACGCCAAAGGTGTTAACACCACAGGGAGCTTCGTGGCATGGGTTTCCAATGCAGCCACAGAAACTGGGCACCTTGCACTCAATGCGTCAATCATGCAATTCTCTGTATACCAAAGTATTCTAGAGTTAAATGTCTGACAGCTAAAGCTTGGCTGAAACACGTTTATGCAACAGAAGAACAATCCCGTGCACACCAGAATGGTTGATAAAGAAAGGAACCAAGGTAATGCAAATGTGCAAAGTCCAGACTTCAACCTGATTGAAATGTTGTGATGGGAACGTGCAAGTGACAGCAAACCTTGAACTGAAGCACTCTTGTTATGATGAGTGGATCAAAACTCTTCCACAGTGATTTAAAAAGACTGATAAAGTCATCTAGAAAATGATTACTTCAAGTTATTGCTGATAAAGATGGTTCCACAAGCGAGGGAATTATTGAGTGTACTACAGTTACACTGGCCACTGTCTTTGGACTGTGGGAGGAGCTGGAGGACCCAAAGAAAGCACATGAAAAACTCCAAACAGAAAGGCCCGAGCTGACCAGAATCCTTGAAACTACTTGATGTGAAGTTAAAGTGGCAACACTGCATGACCTTGCAAGTAGGTTCTTGGTTGAAAACACTTCTAACTTCACATCTACTCAAAATATACTCCAGTCAGAAACTCTAAGATCAGAATAATTAATTAATGTCTGAAAAATGAGGCTAAAAGCCTGCTGTTATAACCTTTCCCATCCAGGCTCACAGTGCAGAACCGCTGTAAATACAAGAGCTCTCAGTCATTTTACTTATTTTTCTTTTTTAAATTCAGCACAATGAACAGCAAAGGAGCACAAGTGAAATGAGATTTGGCTCCTTTATGAGCAACAAATGGTGGATTCAGTTGACTTTGTTCCCACTTCTCAAAGGGAAACTGGCAGGTTTATAGCCACTGCTTTAAAACAAAAACTTTCTTTCAGCACGGTCATGCAATCTATGCACAAAAATGATAATTCACTTCACGGCTTATATGCAAGAGATTTGGGCAAAACTGAACTGCAACTTTAACTTGTCATAAGCAAACAAACAGAAAATCATGAGGCTGGGTGGATTAATTTTCGGTTATATTAACCGGGCACGCTCCGTTTTGCGTAACTACTTTTAAATCCCGGTAGCTCTGCAACCACGTGAGCTAGCACAATAATTTTTTTTGCATATGAAACCAGAGGAGTTGTACTTACATCTTATGCCATCAGCTTGTCCTCGGTCACAGTTTCCTTCCACATATAGCTTGGCAAAAACTGCATAAAAAGCGCTTGCAGCAACAAAAACACAATATTCCAGAAACACGCTTTGCCGATCCGATCAGCTGTTCATAACACTTCCTAGTCCATCAGCGCGAACTATCGCATGTCCGCCATGACCTGCCCGAAACCGGAAGTGACGCCATTTTAGCGGAAATGTAGTTTTTTACCATCAGGGCCTCATGAGCCTATACTGGTGTTTTTAAAAGTTATCTTTGACTTTATGACTTTCTGTGTCGTTTCTGGGATGCTTAGGACTCATATTGCACTGCTGGAAATAGTTTATTTTGATGCATATGCTGCTTTTTTGCAAATTTGCACTATAATATTTATTTTCGTTTTTCCTGCAGTATATAAAAATTGGTGTATTTCAAAAATAAAACTATGAAGACACTCAAAATAAATTTCCTGTGGTGGGAAACTATTTTGTGCAACTTTTTTGCATTTACAGTTTTGAGGGATAAGCCTCTTAAATTTCTCTAACTAGAAATATATGTTAAAAAAACAAAAACGATTTTCAATTTTTTTGTAGTTTATTGCACTTTTTTGCAATTTATATAATTACTATGCACTTAATGCAGACATATTATTAAAATTTAGACTGTAATGGTTGAATTGATGTATAGCAACTTGAAATGCTCCCAAAAATGGCTCCACAGCATGTAAAAATATAATATAAGCTCTGGCGGACTTGGTTCTATGCTAGGTCTTAAAGGGTTAAAATACATTTCTACCCTTTTATATAACCATAACAACCTCAAAACACCACAGCTGCCATTATATCAGAATACAGTTGTGTATATGATCATCTCAGCCTTCAGCAGCCGAAACAGTGAGAACACCTTCGGCACATCAGCTACAGATGTAACCTCGTAGACCACGCACCTCCGATGGCATTCTTACAAAAAGAAGGCACTTGCGTATGTGCCTCTGAATTCATGAGTACCCATTTCATGACTGGAAAGTGTTTGACTTTCCTGAAAATGGAAAGCTTCTAACCCGCTGCTGTGCCCACAAGCAGCTGATGTTGCCTGACATCTGGCAGGTCCCCGAGGTCGTCAGTATTTCTGTTTCACCTGCTTTTACACCTGAGAAAAAGTCTGCCTCGAGGCTCGCAGTGGCACGAGAAAGAAATGTCTCCATCCCTTCTGCCAGGTAACGCTGGATTGCAGCTGAGTGTAGGCTACAATGTCACACCCCCCACCCTCACCTCCCCTTTTTCCTTTTACTTCCACTATCCTTTTATCCTTTACTCTGCCTCTGCTTCTTACCCCCACCCCACCATCTCAAATTCTCTTGATTTCCCCCCCCCACACACACACACACGGTACAGTACAGCGCAGAGATGCAGAGTACCAGCAGTGACAG